GTCAGCCAGGATGGTCTCGATCTCCTGACCTCGTGATCCGCCCGTCTCGGCCTCCCAAAGTGCTGGGATTACAGGCTTGAGCCACCGCGCCCGGCCTCGGTTTTTTTTTTTATCTTGCTTGCAGTTTGTCAGTTTTATTAGTATTTTGAAGAAAAAGAAAAGATGATGACTTTCATTTTTTGGATACTTTCTATTATTTAGTAGTTATTCTTCCATTGATTCCTGCTCCTAAGTTTATATTATGCTTATATTATTTTACTTCTCCTTTCTTTGAATTTACTTGCTTTTTTTTCCTAATTTTTGGAGTTAAACACTCAGTTTATTACTCTGCAGACGTACTTTGTCTCTAGTATCTGCAGTAAGGCTATAATCTTCCCTCGATACTGCTTTAGTTGTATCTCACCAGTTCCCATTAGTAGTTTCATGACAATTCAGTTCTAAATATTTATTAATTTGTAGTTTGACTTTTTTCCTTGACTCATGAATTAGAATGCATTTTTTTAATTTTCAAAAGTATGAAGTTTTCTAAGTTATTTTTTCATTATTGATTTCTAATTTAACTGTTAGAGGACATTGACTATATGATACAGATTCTTTGAATTTTGTTGATGTTTGCTCTATAGCCTATTATATGATACATTTTTGTAAATGTTCCATATGTATTTGAAGAGAATGTGCTTTCAGTGCTCATGTAAGTCCATTAGATCAAGCTTCTTAATTGTGTTCTTCAAACCTTTTAACTCCTTACTGATTTATTGTGTATTTGACCCATCAGTTTTGAGAGAGATGTGTGAAAATGTCCCTTTGTGATTTTGAATATATTGTAGTTCCAGTAATTTTAAAAATATATTTCAAAGTTATGTTGTTAGGGGTATACAAATTTAAAATTAGGTATCCCTGGAAAATTGAAAATTCATCTGTAGCATTGCTTTTTGTTCTGGAAGTCTAGTTTTTCCTAATATTTAAGATAGACACACCTGCTTCTTTTTGCAGAGTATTACCCTGGTATGTCCTTTCCTATCGTTTTACTGGCAGCCTTTCTCTGTCTCATACTTTTAGGAGTTTCTCTTATGAATAGTTTAGAGTTGAATTTGTTTTTGCTTCTATCTGTTTATTGTGTTTTCTAGGTTTCTTTTTTTTTTCTTTCTTTCTTGCCTTCGTTTGGGTTGATTTTTTTCCCTCCTCTCATTCATTTTCTCCCCAACTCTATAGTTTGGAAGTTACATGCTTTATTTCAATTCTGGCAGTGGGGACCTTGGAAATTATAGGTTACATATTCATCTTAATAAGTCTAAAGTTAATCAATATCTTATAAAGCACATTAGTGGCCCCAAGTTTTGTACTTGTCCTAGAGGCACTCACTGCTCAGTAAAACCCAATGCTCTAGGCAAACAGGGATTAGCAGACAAATGCCAGGCCCCAGGGTTTTTCTACTTCTATAGATTTTCGTTATTTCTATTATTTCTCACCTTTGAGGAATTCGCTTATTTTGCCTCCTGCTAAGTCATGTATTATAAAAAGACAATTATTATTATATCCAATAACTATATTAGGGAAGGGGACGGATGTTTCTATGTTTCTGGTAACCACATTGCTAGGATTTCCCTCTTTGAATCCCCTACTTCCTGTCTTGTGGACTGGACATTGCTATTGTTCTTGAGCCATCCATTGCCCCAGGATGCCATCTAGGTTTTCTCCAAGCCCAACCCAAGTTCTTACAACTTCGTACCAGAGTTTTCCCCTATCTACTCCCATAAACCCCTTGTTCTGGGGTGGAATACTTAGGATGTTAACACACAGATATAGGCACA